GTAGTAGCAGCAGCAGCAGCAGTAGCAGCAGCAGTAGTAGAAGCAGTAGCAGCAGCAGTAACAGCAGTAGTAGCAGCAGTAGCATCAGTCTGTATACTCTCTACACAGGTGACCCCGAGCGTGGATGCCGTTGTGGGGCTGTACAGGGTCCTGGTGGGCGTGGCCACACGCACAGGTCTGAATATCTACAAGAACCTGAGGCAACACATGTACCTGCTCTTTAACGCCTTCCACCCCAGTGAGAACCCTCATTATATCTCTCTGTGGTCTCTCTTTCTGGTCCCCTCTCTCTGGTCTTTCTCCGGTCTCTCTCTGGTCCCCTCTCTCTGGTCTTTCTCTGGTCTCTCTCTGGTCTCTCTGGTCTCTCTCTGGTCTCTCTCTAGTCTCTCTCTCTGGTCTCTCTGGGGTCTCTCTCTGGTCTCTCTCTAGTCTCTCTCTGGTCTCTCTGGGGTCTCTCTCTGGTGTCTCTCTCTGGTCTCTCTCTGGTCTCTCTCTAGTCTGTCTCTAGTCTCTCTCTGGTCTCTCTCTGGTCTCTCTGGGGTCACTCTCTGGTGTCTCTCTCTGGTCTCTCTCTGGTCTCTCTCTGGTCTTTCTCTCTGATCCCTCTCTCTTGCTGCTCTCTCTCTCTCTGGTCTGGTCTCTCTCTGGTCCCTCTCTTGTCTCTCTCTGGTCTCTCTCTGGTCTCTCTCTGGTCCCTCTCTTGTCTCTCTCTGGTCTCTCTCTGGTCTCTCTCTGGTCTCTCTCTGATCTCTCTCTGGTCTCTCTCTGGTCTCTCTCTGGTCTCTGCTGGACGTGTGTCTTGTTGCTAGGCGATGAAGCGTTCCTGGGGGCGGAGCCTGATGGATATGTGATGAACACCGATGGAACTATTTTCACCGGAAGCATCAATTCAATTCACCGGATGAGATGGGAGTACGGACAGGTACGACCCAGGAATGAGGCTGTAGACCCAGGACTGAGGCTGTAGACCCAGGACCGAGGCTGTAGACCCAGGACCGAGGCTGTAGACCCAGGACTGAGGCTGTAGACCCAGGACCGAGGCTGTAGACCCAGGACTGAGGCTTTAGATCCAGGACTGAGGCTGTAGACCCAGGACTGAGGCTGTAGACCCAGGACCGAGGCTGTAGATCCAGGACCGAGGCTGTAGATCCAGGACCGAGGCTGTAGACCCAGGACTGAGGCTTTAGATCCAGGACTGAGGCTGTAGACCCAGGACTGAGGCTTTAGATCCAGGACTGAGGCTGTAGACCCAGGACTGAGGCTTTAGATCCAGGACTGAGGCTGTAGACCCAGGACTGAGGCTGTAGACCCAGGACCGAGGCTGTAGATCCAGGACCGAGGCTGTAGACCCAGGACTGAGGCTATAGACCCAGGATTGAGGCTTTAGATCCAGGACTGAGGCTGTAGACCCAGGACTGAGGCTTTAGATCCAGGACTGAGGCTGTAGACCCAGGACTGAGGCTGTAGACCCAGGACTGAGACCCAGGACTAAGGTCTAGTCTCTGTTGCAGTTCGACAAGGACATCCTGAAGGCCTGTATCTACATCATGGACCAGTCCAGACTCCCTATCTCCCACAGAGGTGACGCTGTGAAGGTCATCAGGATGGCCTCCGCAATGGTACCTACCAGGACCAGGACCAGGACTAGACCAGGACCAGACCAGACCAGACCAGGACCAGGACCAGGACTAGACCAGGACCAGACCAGACCAGACCAGGACCAGACCAGGACCAGACCAGGACCAGACCAGGACCAGACCAGGACCAGACTAGGACCGGACCAGAACCAGGACCAGCACCAGGACTGAACCAGGACCAAGACTAGACCAGAACCAGGCCAGAATCAGGACCAAGACTGGACCAGGACTAGGACCAGATCAGACCAGGACAAGGACTGAACCAAGACCAGGACTGAACCAGGACCAAGGCTCAAAAGTGGCCAAAATGACGTGCGCTGACATTCTGCAATACCACCCCGGGCCTGTGGGGGTGGACCCGGAATAAGAATTAGCCAATGCTAACATATAGCATTGGCAGACCTCTCGAAAACGTCTTTACAGGATGGTCCAAAAGTTTTTCTGTAAATATTTACAGTCTATGACCAGGACTAGCCTTGGAATGGTTCCTCACAGCCGTTTTACACAAGTCCATTATATTTCAATAAATTGGACTAAAGGAGCAAAGGAAGGTTTCTCACCGTCATCTGTACTTCTTAGCAAGTTTTCCCGACGTTTCGTCCTCAAACTAGCGGACTTCTTCAGGGAATGAATTCTCGGACCGCGCGTTGGAGATTTATAACCTATGGGTGTGGTTAGCCACACCCTAATCCTGATACTAACTCATAAACAATGTAAGGTCTGATGTAGAAGGGAGCAGGTCTAACGACCCTGCTGAGGCTAACGACGCTAACTCATTAGCATGTCACTGACCTATTGTCTGCTGGATGCTCAAGTGGTGCTCAAGAGGTTTCTCTCTTGGTGCTTTAACCCTGATGTCCTTCCGCAGCTGAACTCGCAGGACGATGAGGGGGTGGTGGTGGGAAACTGGGGGAAGGACTTCACCCCCCACACGTCTCCTCTGTCCTGGACCGGCTCCGTGAAGATCCTGCAGACCTACCTGTCCACCAGGAGGCCCGTGTCCTACGGCCAGTGCTGGGTGTTCGCCGGGGTCATGAACACATGTGAGCTACATGCTAACGCTACAGGCTAATGCTACAGGCTAAGGCTAAAGGGTAATGTTACAGGCCAATGCTAAAGGCTAATGTTACAGGCTATTGCTACAGGCTAAGTCTACAGGCTAATGCTATAGGCTAATGTTACAGGCTAACGCTACAGGCTAATGCTACAGGCAAATGCTACAGGCTTATGTTACAGGCTAACGCTACAGGCTAACGCTACAGGCTAATGCTATTACATGCCATATAAAGAATATTGTCTCGATCCTGGGGCTCATGTTGACTCCACACAGTCCTCACATTTGGCGCTTTTCCACAGCCACAGTACGGTACGGTACAACCATAGACTGTATATATTAATGGACAGAGTCACGCCTATCTCCGCCGTTCTAACTAATGGGCCAAAAAATGTGCTCTAATGGAGCAATCCAAAATGGCCGCGAGTGGTCCCGCCCACAAGAAAATGGTGAAAAAAAGCATCTGCGCATGAGTCAGCCGGAGCAGCTCCATTCATTTGAACGAGAGACTTCAAAAATTCACAGCGACTAAACTAGACTGGTCCAGAACACTCAGCATTGACACTTGTGGAACGGAGCTTTGGGCCAAGAGCCAACTTTTGGTCCATCCTGTAAAGACGTTTTCGTCACTGGGTACAACCTGGTCCCGGCTCAAAAGTGGCCAAAATGACGTGCGCTGACATTCTGCAGTACCACCCCGGGCCTGTGGGGGTGGACCCGGAATAAGAATTAGCCAATGCTAACATTTAGCATTGGCAGACCTCTCGAAAACGTCTTTACAGGATGGACAAAAAGTTGTCTCTTGGCCCAAAGCTCCGTTCCACATGTGTGTCAAAGCTGAGTGTTCTGGACCAGTCTGGTTTAGTCGCTGTGAATTATTGAAGGCTCTCGTCGGTTGACACATGTGCAGATGCTTTTTTTCACAATTTTCTTGTCTACCACTCGCAGCCATTTTGGATAGCCCGGATAGAACGGCTGAGATAGGCGGGACTACATCTGTTAATATATACAGTCTATGGGTACAACACGACACAGTACGGCACGGCCCAGTTCGTCTGGTTTTCCATCAACAATAGCACCTCCTAGTATCAGACCACGTCCTTTACTGCATGGATTTATCATAATATCAGTGATAGCTGCTATTACCTCCAGGGGACTCTGCTTACCCCTGTAGTACTGACTATTACCTCCAGGGGGCTCCTCTTACCCCTGTAGTACTGACTATTACCTCCAGGGGGCTCCTCTTACCCCTGTAGTACTGACTATTACCTCCAGGAGAGGTATTTAATAGAAAGTTCAGCAGGGAAGGACTATCCGATGCGTCGCTTGTCATATGCCTAAACATTTATTTTGACCAAAAATAAAATCTTTTTGTATTTAGCAAATGTCTCCATCCTTGTTCATGAATTGAACAAGGTTATACGGATTTACTGACAAATATAATGTATGTAGTAAAAGTACATAAGTATATGGTAGGAAATTGTAACTTTTGAACCCCTTTTCTGCACGTGTACAGACAAATGAATGAAACAAAGTCTTGATACAATCACAGATTTATTAAAACAAAAGTAAAGTGCAAAACCAACAATCTACAAAGTCCAAAGTAAGTCTGAGACCAGGTCCAGACCAGGTCCAGACCAGGTCCAGACCAGGTCTAGACCAGGTCCAGGCCAGGTCCAGATGAGAATACTCCGGTCACTCATTACTCGTTGGTAATTTCCACACTTATGGGAAGGGATTCTCAAACAAATATACACACAACAACTTAAATACAAGCACAAAACAGAATGACAACACGTGAATACTGCAGATATTACGAGATAAAGCACAGTAGCACAGGGAGGACGTTAGCTTAGCTGCTATCGATAGCTAAATGAAGCTAAATGTAGCTAGCTCACTGTGTACAACAGACAATCAAACATGTACACAGTAAATACATTTCAGTGAGAGCTTTAACGGGATTTGTAGCTAACCAGTTATTTCAGGATTACCACAGACTAATCACAAATCCAGAGCAATCTCCTGAAAACTGTGTTGAGCCTCGAGCTGCCTTTGAAGTCTTTCTTTTGGCCTGAAGAGAGGAACGTGTGGACCTCTTCCACCGACCAGGACCAGGACCAGGACCAGGACCAGGACTTTTGGGGCTTTCTGTGCGATTCCATTTCTCTGGAGTGAGGAGGACGTAATGTAGCCGAAGCAGAGCCGAGCTGAGCAGCCGGTTTTAAAGATGGCGGTTGAGTTGTTTTTACTAAGGGGTCGGACGTCATGGTATCGGTACGTCATGGTATCGGTACGTCATGGTATCGGTACGTCATGGTATCGGTACGTCATGGTATCGGTACGTCATGGTATCGGTACGTCATGGTATCGGTACGTCATGGTATCGGTACTGCTGGGACCACAGTCGAGGAAAAGTAATCAAACTCCGATACCAAACACCGCACCGTACCGTACTGTTACTGCGGAAAAGGGCTAATTGACTCCACACAGTTCTCACATTGAGTCCACACAGTCCTCACATTGAGTCCACACAGTCCTCACATTGAGTCCACACAGTCCTCACATTGAGTCCACACAGTCCTCAGGTGCCTGGGCCTCGGGGCCAGGGTGGTCTCTAACTTCCAGTCGGCTCATGATAACGATGGAGACCTGAAGATGACCGTCATCGTCGACGCGAACACAGGACGAACTCACGAGAGCACACGAGACTCTATCTGGTGAGATCAGGACCAGGACTGGACCAAGACTGGACCGGGACTGAACCGAGACTAGACCTGGACTTATGGACCTCTGTCTTAGGAACTTTCACTGCTGGAACGAGGTGTTCTTGAGGAGAAGTGACATCCCTCCAGAGTACAACGGCTGGCAGGTCGTGGACTGTACCCCCCAGGAGACCAGCGATGGTATGAGTGGCACATGCTAACACGCTAATATGCTAACACGCAAACATCTAACATGCTAACATCTAACATGCTAACATTCTAACACATAAAATGCAAACATAGTAACACGCTAACGTGTATCACGTGGCGTTAGCTTTGCGCCGTAATTGGAGACATTGTGTTGCTAAGGTGGAGTTTCCCCGCTAATGAAGGCCTCTGATTGGTCAGTCATGTCTGGATTTACAAAGACAGCTTCACAGAGAGCGACTGCGACACATTTACTAAAGAGGAGTTAGAGAGTTGGCCAAACTTCACCATGAGCACTTCCCTGTTTGGCGGGCGGCACACTGGCTGAGTGGATAGCATTCTCGCCTCTCAGCAAGAAGGTCCTGGGTTCAAATCCTGGTCGGAACAGGGCCTTTCTGAGTGGAGTTTGCATGTTGTCCCTGTGTCTGCGTAGGTTTCCTCCGGGTGCTCCGGTTTCCCCTAACACAAAAAACATGCACAATAGGTCTGAATGTAAATGAATGAGGAAATGGATGGTTGCTTCCATCATCACCGTGTGTGGAATGATTGGAACAATATCTGACTCTGAACTTTGTAAAGTGCTTTGGGTCTGTGCCTTTGGTCCGTAAAATGCGCTATATAAATAAACATGACTTACTTAATTGAGCTAGCAAGTTAGCCTTGAGCCTAGTGGGTTAGCATTGTCCATCTATATTCAATCTATAGCTGTGACCATGTGCACATCATGAATTTATTATAAAATCTGTGTGTACATATATGTAAATACACACACACACACACACACACACACACATACACACACACACACACACATATATATAAATACACACACACATATATGTAAATACACACACACACACACACACACACACATATATATAAATACACACACACACACACATATATGTAAATACACACACACACACACACACACATATATATAAATACACACACACACAAACATATATGTAAATACACACACACACATATATAAATACACACACACACACACATATATAAATACACACACACACACACACACACATATATGTAAATACACACACACACATATGTAAATACACACACACACATATATAAATACACACACACACACACACATATGTAAATACACACACACACACATATATAAATACACAAACAAATTGCTTCTGTCTTCAGGATATTATCGTTGTGGTCCTGCTTCTGTCAAAGCCATCAAGATCGGGAAAGTCTGCTATCCCTTCGATGGACGCTTCGTCTTCGCTGAGGTCAGAACCACACACACACACACAGACACACAAACACACACACACACAGACTCACACACACAGACTCACACACACACAGACACACACACACACAGACACACAAACACACACACACACAGACTCACACACACAGACGCACACATAGCTCTGAAAGTTGTTGTTTTTACATTTGTTATTTTTTGACTTTTCTTCCTGTGGGTTTGTGTTTCCTAAATGTTACTGCAGTGTTTATGGTTTTACACTGGTCCAGAGCAGAGAGGATTCATTCACTCTCTGTTCCCCCCTGGTCTCTCTCTGGTCTCTCCCCTGGTCTCTCCCCTGGTCTCTCCCCTGGTCTCTCCCTGGTCTCTCCCCTGGTCTCTCCCCTGGTCTCTCCCCTGGTCTCTTCCCTGGTCTCTCCCTGGTCTCTCCCCTGGTCTCTCCCCTGGTCTCTTCCCTGGTCTCTCCCTGGTCTCTCCCTGGTCTCTCCCTGGTCTCTCCCCTGGTCTCTCTCTGGTCTCTCTCTGATCTCTCCCCTGGTCTCTCCCCTGGTCTCTCCCCTGGTCTCTTCCCTGGTCTCTCCCTGGTCTCTCCCTGGTCTCTCCCCTGGTCTCTCTCTGGTCTCTCTCTGATCTCTCCCCTGGTCTCTCCCCTGGTCTCTCTCTGGTCTCTCTCTGGTCTCTCCCCTGGTCTCTCCCCTGGTCTCTCTCTGGTCTCTCCCCTGGTCTCTCCCTCTGGTCTCTCTCTGGTCTCTCCCCTGGTCTCTCTCTGGTCTCTCCTCCTGGTCTCTCCTCCTGGTCTCTCTCTGGTCTCTCCCCTGGTCTCTCCCCTGGTCTCTCTATGGTCTCTCTATGGTCTCTCCCCTGGTCTCTCCCCTGGTCTCTCTCTGGTCTCTCCCCTGGTCTCTCCCCTGGTCTCTCCTCTGGTCTCTCCCCTGGTCTCTCCCCTGGTCTCTCTCTGGTCTCTCCTCTGGTCTCTCCCCTGGTCTCTCCCCTGGTCTCTCTCTGGTCTCTCCCCTGGTCACTCCCCTGGTCTCTCCCCTGGTCTCTCTCTGGTCTCTCTCTGGTCTCTCCCCTGGTTTCTCTCTGGTCTCTCCCCTGGTCTCTCCCCTGGTCTCTCCTCTGGTCTCTCCCCTGGTCTCTCCCCTGGTCTCTCCCCTGGTCTCTCCCCTGGTCTCTCTCTCAGGTGAACAGTGACTTCCTCACATACATGAGGGATAAATATGGAAACCTGACGCTGTCAAATATCGACAAAGCTCTGGTCGGACTCCTGCTGCTCACGGAGAACGCCCAGGGACAGACCATCAACATCACCCTGGACTATAAACATGATGAGTGTGAGTCAGGACCACAACGAGACCAGAGGGACCAGAGAGAGACTACAGAGGGACCAGAGAGGGACCAGAGAGAGATCAAAAAAAGACCAGAGGGAGACCAGAGGGAGACCAGAGAGAGATCAGAGAAAGACCAGAGAGAGATCAGAGAGAGACCAGAGAGAGACCAGAGAGAGACCAGAGAGAGACCAGAGAGAGACCAGAGAGAGACCAGAGAGAGATCAGAGAGAGACCAGAGAGAGACCAGAGAGAGATCAGAGAGAGACCAGAGAGAGACCAGAGAGAGATCAGAGAGAGATCAGAGAAAGACCAGAGAGAGACCAGAGAGAGACCAGAGAGAGACCAGAGAGAGAGAGACTAGAGACAGACCAGAGGGACCTGAGAGGGACCAGAGAGAGATCAAAAAAAGACCAGAGGGAGACCAGAGGGAGACCAGAGGGAGACCAGAGAGAGATCAGAGAAAGACCAGAGAGAGATCAGAGAGAGACCAGAGAGAGACCAGAGAGGGACCAGAGAGAGATCAGATATGGACAATATTAGGAGCAAAAGGACAAGGTAGGAGGTATTTTAAGTGGTTCTTTGACACATGCACAGTTCATGCCTGAGACGCCCCCTGCTGGTGCTTAACGCTCTTTGCTGGTGTCTCACGCCCCCTGCTGGTGTCGCCCCCTGCTGGTGTCTCACGCCCCCTGCTGGTGTCTAGCCCCCTGCTGGTGTCTCACGCCCCCTGCTGGTGTCTAGCCCCCTGCTGGTGTCTAACGCCCCCTGCTGGTGTCTCACGCCCCCTGCTGGTGTCTCACGCCCCCTGCTGGTGTCTAACGCCCCCTGCTGGTGTCGCCCCCTGCTGGTGTCGCCCCCTGCTGGTGTCTCACGCCCCCTGCTGGTGTCTAGCCCCCTGCTGGTGTCGCCCCCTGCTGGTGTCTCACGCCCCCTGCTGGTGTCTAGCCCCCTGCTGGTGTCGCCCCCTGCTTGTGTCGCCCCCTGCTGGTGTCTAACGCCCCCTGCTGGTGTCTAACGCCCCCTGCTGGTGTCTCACACCCGCTGCTGGTGTCTAACGCCCCTGCTGGTGTCTAACGCCCCCTGCTGGTGCTTGCAGATAGTCCCCAGGGGAAGCTGGCCAATGAGAACGCTCTGGCCACAGCAGAGAGCTTCGGCTGCAGGAGAGAGCACCGCGACGTCCCACCTTCTCCTGAGGCTGTGCTCATCACCATCCACCAGAAGGAGGTGAGACCAGAGACCAGAGACCAGAAACCAGAGACAAGAGACCAGAGACCAGACCAGAGACCAGAGTAAGACCAGACCAGAGTGAGACCAGACCAGACCAGACCAGAGCAGAGACCAGACCAGAGCAAGACCAGAGACCAGAGCAAGACCAGACCAGAGTGAGACAAGACCAGGGCAGAAACCAGACCAGAGAGAGACCAGGGACCAGACCAGAGACCAGACCAGAGAGAGACCAGACCTGTGACCAGAGACCACTCTAGACTCCAAACTCTCATAGACGTTACCGGCTCTGTTGCCGTGGTTACAGGGGTACTTCAGGGGGCTCCCGGTGAAGGTGGCGGTGGAAATCCTCAACCAATCAGACGTCACGGTCCAGGCACAGGTTCTGGTCCTGGTGGAGACCGTCTTCTACACCAACATCAGCTCGGACCTGGTGGATCAGAGATCAGAGACCGTCCAGCTGCAGCCCCAACAGCGTGAGAGAGACCGGACCAGAGACCAGAGACGAGACCAGAGACGAGACCAGAGACGAGACGAGACCCAGAGACGAGACCAGAGACGAGACCAGAGACGAGACCAGAGACGAGACCAGAGACGAGACCAGACACGAGACCAGAGACGAGACCAGACACGAGACCAGAGACGAGACTAGAGACGAGACCAGAGACGAGACCAGAGACGAGACCAGAGACGAGAACAGAGACGAGACCAGAGACCGGACCAGAGACCAGAGACCAGACCTGAAACCAGACCTGAAACCAGACCAGGGACCAGACCAGAGACTTGTACTGGCCCCCGGTGTCCGACTAGACTAGACCATGGATGTGTGATATAATGTGGAGGGTGTTGCTGCTTAAACCTGTCCCACATGGACTAGAGGCCGCCTGTGGTACTGCAGCCATTTCTGCCAGATTTTAGTATCTCTTGTTGTCATGAACTTTCATTCTTTTGAAATCCGTTGGTTTTCTTTAAATCCACACTTTAGTGCCATGAACTCTGTCCACTCCCTCCTCCCTCAGCTCATCAGATCCCTCTCGTCGTGGTCCCTGAGGTCTACATGAAGAGCCTCCTCCGGGAGCAGAACCTGAAGGTGGTGGTGTCAGTGCGACTGCCCCGAGGAACCATGGAGAGAACTGAGACTGTGGTGGTACTGAGGGACCTGGAGCTGAAGCTACAGGTACCAGACCAGAGAGAGACACCAGAGAGAGAGACCAGAGAGAGAGACCAGAGAGAGAGACCAGAGAGAGACCAGAGAGAGACCAGAGAGAGACCAGAGAGAGAGACCAGAGAGAGGGACCAGAGAGAGAGACCAGAGAGAGAGACCAGAGAGAGACCAGAGAGAGACCAGGGAGAGACCAGAGAGAGACCAGAGAGAGACCAGGGAGAGACCAGAGAGAGACCAGAGAGAGACCAGAGAGAGACCAGGGAGAGACCAGGGAGAGACCAGAGAGAGACCAGAGAGAGACCAGAGAGAGACCAGAGAGAGACCAGGGAGAGACCAGAGAGAGACCAGAGAGAGACCAGAGAGAGACCAGAGAGAGACCAGAGAGAGACCAGGGAGAGACCAGAGAGACCAGAGAGAGACCAGAGAGAGACCAGAGAGAGACCAGAGAGAGACCAGAGAGAGACCAGAGAGAGACCAGAGAGAGACCAGAGAGAGACCAGAGAGAGACCAGACTATCGCTCTCTGTGCAGGTGTTTCCAGAGGCCCCGGTCGAGGGGAAGTCGTCCAAAGCCATAGTCTCTTTCCTCAACACTTTGAACGTTCCTCTGCGTCTGCCGGAGGTCATTGTGGAAGGACCAGGACTCCTGCAGTCCACATGGTCCAAGATCTATGAGTGAGTGACCACACACACTATAAAGCCAATTCTAGTCAAATATAAGTGTTTTCTATGTACAGAAACTCCTCTCTCTCTCTCTCTCTTGTCCATCTCAGGTCTCTCTCTCTGGTCTCTCTCGTGGTAGATACTCTCATGGTTACTCTAGCCTTCCTGGTCTCTCTGTTGTCTTTCTCTCTCTCTCTGGTCTCTCTCTGTTTGCTCTTTCTCTGGTCTCTCTCTGTTCTCTCTCTCTCTGGTCTCTCACGCTCTGGTCTCTCTCTCTGGTCTCTCTCTGGCCCCTCTCTCTGGTCTCTCTCTCTTGTCTCTCTCTGGTCTCTCTCTGGTCTCTCTCTGGTCTCTCTCTGGTCCCTCTCTGGTCTCTCTCTCTGGTTTCTTTCTCTGGTCTCTCTCTCTGATCTCTCTGGTCTCTCTCTCTGGTCCCTCTCTGTGGTCTCTCTGTGGTCTCTCTGTGGTCTCTCTCTGGTCTCTCTCTCTGGTCTCTCTCTGGTCTCTCTCTCTGGTCTCTCTCTGTGGTCTCTCTCTCTGGTCTCTCTCTGGTCTTTCTCTGGTCTTTCTCTCTGGTCTCTCTCTCTGGTCTCTCTCTCTGGTCTCTCTCTGGTCTCTCTCTCTGGTCTCTCTGTGGTCTCTCTCTGTGGTCTCTCTCTCTGGTCTTTCTCTGGTCTGTCTCTCTGGTCTTTCTCTCTGGTCTCTCTCTCTGGTCTTTCTCTGGTCTCTCTCTGGTCTCTCTCTGGTCTCTCTCTCTGGTCTCTCTCTGGTCTCTCTCTCTGGTCTCTCTCTGGTCTCTCTCTGGTCTCTCTCTGGTCTCTCTCTCTGGTCTCTCTTTGGTCTCTCTCTCTCTGGTCTCTCTTTGGTCTCTCTCTCTGGTCTCTCTCTGGTCTCTCTCTTGTCTCTCTCTGGTCTCTCCCTCTGGTCTCTCTCTCATGTGTTTCCTCTTTGCAGTGATGTGGCCCCAGGACAGGCGCTCCGAGCAGAGGTGGACTTTAAAGCACTAAGTCCTGGATCCAAGAGGCTAAGCGCACGCATGCTAACGCAGAATGGCTATGTTGTGAGTCCATTAAAACATTAAAAGTTTAAAGCTGAGGTTCGGAAGTTTAGTCTCATAAAAACACTTGTAGTTCGTAAGTTCAATAGAAAATAAATAATTTGTGGAAGAGCTATTTGATTTTTCTTGTCTCTCTCTGGTCTCTCTTTCTGGTCTGTCTCTGTTCTCTCTTTCTGGTCTGTCTCTGTTCTCTCTTTCTGGTCTCTCTCTGTTTTCTCTGTTCTCTCTTTCAGGTCTGTCTCTGTTCTCTCTCTCTGGTCTCTCTGGTCTGTCTCTGGTCTCAGTTGTGTTGTATGTCCCCAGGCCAGTGGCTCTCTGGTCGTCATGGTTACTTCTGCCTGGGCCTCTCCGGACCTCGATTATCCTCCGTTCAGATACTCGCCATTTGGAGGCCTGTTCCCTCACTCTGGGGGCGGGGACTAAACCGCCACGCCACTGCTGATTTGCTCACCGCTTCTGTCAATCATCATTACCCAATCAACTCATGAACACAACAAACATGTCCATTTAAATCCATTTTAATCTTACAATAACGAAAAGATGTGAAAGAAAAGTAGAACATGACGTGTCTGTAAAGAGGGTCCTGTCAGCGGAACATAGAAACTAAACTTTGAAATAAAACTTAAAAAAAGTTCCATTTTGAAAAATACCACCGGCCGACAGTTCCTCATTAGGAAAGTCATGTTCGTGTTCAGAATCATGTGATTTCTTCTGATTTCAAATAAACGCTGTATTTTACTCACAATAATAAAAGCAAAGAACTGTTTCTGTTGATTTCATTGTTACTTCATTTATTTACAAATATTTACAATAAAATCACTTTATGTCTGTATCATTGTTACTTCATTTACTTCATTTATTTACAAATATTTACAATAAAACCACTTTATGTCTGTATCTACAAAAGTAGTAGCAGCAGCAGCGGTAGTAGTAGTAGCAGTAGCAGTAGTAGTAGCAGTCTCAGACAGTCGCTGGCTTCATCACAGACTGCTCTCCAAAGATCTTCTTAAACTCCGCCACGTGTTCCTCACAGTGTTCTCCTGAAACAGACAAGATCCCTGTGCTCTTAAATGCATCAGTCTGTCTCAGTAGGATCCCTGTGCTCTTAAATGCATCAGTCTGTCTCAATAGGATCCCTGTGCTCTTAAATGCATCAGTCTGTCTCAGTAGGATCCCTGTGCTCTTAAATGCATCAGCCTGTCTCAGGAGGATCCCTGTGCTCTTAAATGCATCAGTCTGTCTCAGTAGGATCCCTGTGCTCTTAAATGCATCAGCCTGTCTCAGGAGGATCCCTGTGCTCTTAAATGCATCAGTCTGTCTCAGTAGGATCCCTGTGCTCTTAAATGCATCAGTCTGTCTCAGTAGGATCCCTGTGCTCTTAAATGCATCAGCCTGTCTCAGTAGGATCCCTGTGCTCTTAAATGCATCAGCCTGTCTCAGGAGGATCCCTGTGCTCTTAAATGCATCAGTCTGTCTCAGTAGGATCCCTGTGCTCTTAAATGCATCAGCCTGTCTCAGGAGGATCCCTGTGCTCTTAAATGCATCAGTCTGTCTCAGTAGGATCCCTGTGCTCTTAAATGCATCAGTCTGTCTCAGTAGGATCCCTGTGCTCTTAAATGCATCAGCCTGTCTCAGTAGGATCCCTGTGCTCTTAAATGCATCAGCCTGTCTCAGTAGGATCCCGAACCCTAACCCAAACCCACGTCCCTCAGCTTTAACAACATTAGCATTAGCATTAGCTTTAACAGTCTGTACCTGGTGTAAAGGCAGGACTTCCTCTCAGGCGCTGGTTTCGCTGCTGAAAGGATCTGAACACAGTGAAAAACAACATGTGGTCCCCGGTCTGCAGGGCCGCGTCTAGGAACTTACGGGCCGAGATGTTGTCGTGGCCCCCTGTGGAGAATACAGACTGTCTGTTATATAAACAGTCATGGCCCCCAGAGAGAATACAGACTGTTATATAAACTGTCATGGCCCCCTGCAGAGAATACAGACTGTTATATAAACTGTCATGGCCCCAGAGAGAATACAGACTTATATAAACTGTCATGGCCCTCAGAGAGAATACAGACTGTTATATAAACTGTCATGGCCCCCTGCAGAGAATACAGACTGTTATATAAACTGTCATGGCCCCCTGCAGAGAATACAGACTGTTATATAAACTGTCATGGCCCCCAGAGAGAATACAGACTGTTATATACAGTGCCTTGCGAAAGTATTCTGCCCGGCCGTCCCTTCAAACTTTCATCTCAAACAAGGAGAAGACTGATCAGAGATGCAGCCAAGAGGCCCATGATCACTCTGGATGAACTGCAGATAACTACAGCTGAGGTGGGAGAGTCTGTCCATAGGACAACAATCAGTCGAGCACTGTACAAATCTGGCCTTTATGGAAGAGTGGCAAGAAGAAAGCCATTTCTCAAAGATATCCATAAAAAGTCTCGTTTAAAGTTTGCCACAAGCCACCTGGGAGACACACCAAACATGTGGAAGAAGGTGCTCTGGTCAGATGAAACCAAAATCGAACTTTTTGGCCACAATGCAAAACGATATGTTTGGCGTAAAAGCAACACAGCTCATCACCCTGAACACACCATCCCCACTGTCAAACATGGTGGTGGCAGCATCATGCTTTGGGCCTGCTTTTCTTCAGCAGGGACAGGGAAGATGGCTAAAATTGATGGGAAGATGGATGGAGCCAAATACAGGACCATTCTGGAAGAAAACCTGTTGGAGTCTGCAAAAGACCTGAGACTGGGACGGAGATTTATCTTCCAACAGGACAATGATCCAAAACATAAAGCCAAATCTACAATGGAATGGTTCACAAATAGACGTATCCAGGTGTTAGAATGGCCAAGTCAAAGTCCAGACCTGAATCCAATCGAGAATCTGTGGAAAGAGCTGAAGACTGCTGTTCACAAACGCTCTCCATCCAACCTCACTGAGCTCGAGCTGTTTTGCAAGGAAGAATGGGTAAGAATTCCAGTCTCTCCATGTGCAAAACTGATTGAGACATACCCCAAGCGTCTTGCAGCTGTAATTGCAGCAAAAGGTGGCGCTAGAAAGTTTTTTTGTTAAAAAAGTTTAAATTATCCAATAAATTTCGTTCCACTTCACGATTGTGTCCCACTTGTTGTTGATTCTTGACAAAAAATTACATTTTTATATCTTTATGTTTGAAGCCTGAAATGTGGCGAAATGTTGAAAGATTCAAGGGGGCCGAATACTTTCGCAAGGCACTGTAAACTGTCATGGCCCCCAGAGAGAATACAGACTGTTATATAAACTGTTCTTACCGACTGAACGGATGAATCTGAGTGCGCCCAGAACCTGCTGTTTGGACAGAAGCACCTCCACGATCTCATCATTTGCCGTCGACAATCGCTGGAAACAGAAACCTGCTTTAGACCTGCTTTAGACCTGCTTTAGACCTGCTTTAGACCTGCTTTAGTCCTGCTTTAGACCTGCTTTAGTCCTAGTTTAGACCTGCTTTAGTCCTAGTTTAGACCTGCTTTAGACCTGCTTTAGTCCTGCTTTAGACCTGCTTTAGTCCTGCTTTAGACCTGCTTTAGATCTGCTTTAGTCCTGCTTTAGACCTGCTTTAGACCTGCTTTAGACCTGCTTTAGATCTGTTTTTTTATGTTTGACAACAAAGAGTCCTACTGAGTCTCCAGCTCCTGATGAAACTAGCTCCTGATGACACCAGCTCCTGATGACATTAGTTCCTGATGACACCAGCTCCTGATGACACCAGCTCCTGATGACACCAGCTCCTGATGACACTAGCTCCTGATGACACCAGCTCCTGATGACACCAGCTCCTGATGACACCAGCTCCTGATGACACTAGCTCCTGATGACACCAGCTCCTGATGACACCAGCTCCTGATGACACTAGCTCCTGATGACACCAGCTCCTGATGACACCAGCTCCTGATGACACCAGCTCCTGATGACACTAGCTCCTGATGACACCAGCTCCTGATGACTGTTGACACTAGCTCCTGATGACCCTAGATTCTGATGACACTAGCTTCTGATCAGTTCCTGATCACACTAGCTCCTGATGACACCAGCTACTGATGACACTAGCTCCTGATGACACTAGCTCCTGATGACTGATGACACTAGCTCCTGATGACCCCAGATCCCAATGACACTAGCTTCTGACCAGCTCCTGATGACACTAACTCCTGATGACTCTAGCTATGACACCAGCTCCTGATGACACTAGCTCCTGATGACACCAGCTCCTGATGACTCTAGCTATGACAACAGCTCCTGATGACACTAGCTCCTGATGACACCAGCTCCTGATGACACTAGCTATGACAACAGCTCCTGATGACACTAGCTCCTGATGACACTAGCTATGACACCAGCTCCTGATGACACTAGCTCCTGATGACACCAGCTCCTGATGACACCAGCTCCTGATGACACTAGCTCCTGATGTTACCTTCAGCATGTCCAGAGACAGCTGATGGGCGGGGGGGTAGGTGCTCTCCAGAGACAGCAGCAGACAGGCCTGAGACACAGGGAAAGTTACAGGTCAGAGCTTTAATTGTAAATCAGTAAAGTGAATATAATGTAACTTTCCCTTGACTAAAAGACATATGTTTACTTTGTTGTTTCAGTTTTAGAGAGACAAGAGAGACCAGAGAGAGAGACCAGAGAGAGACCAGAGTGAGAGACCAGAGAGAGAGACCAGAGAGAGACCAGAGACCAGATAGAGACTAGAGTGAGAGACCAGAGAGAGACCAGAGACCAGAGAGAGACCAGAGAGAGACTAGAGTGAGAGACCAGAGAGAGACCAGAGAGAGACCAGAGAGAGAGACCAGAGAGAGACTAGAGTGAGAGACCAGAGAGAGACTAGAGTGAGAGACCAGAGAGAGACTAGAGAGAGAGACCAGAGAGAGACTAGAGTGAGAGACCAGAGACAGACCAGAGACCAGAGAGAGACTAGAGTGAGAGACCAGAGAGAGACCAGAGAGAGAGACCAGAGAGAGACCAGAGAGAGACCAGAGAGAGAGACCAGAGAGAGACCAGAGTGAGAGACCAGAGAGAGACCAGAGAGAGCAGGTATAACCATATGAGAGCTTTTACCAGAGGTTTGGAGTCACTGAGGACGTGATACTGCAGGAACTGGTGTAACATGTAGAAGAGCTCGTGCTGCACCAGCGTCTTGATCACCAGCTCATACAGATAGTGCTGCCAGAAGAGCACATGTAAACATCCAAACACAGCCTCAGGTCATACAGATAGTTCTGCCAGAGGAGCACATGTAAACATCCAAACACAGCCTCAGGTCGGGCCAGTCTCTCACCTGCACCGTGATCTGGTTCTGGTTCAGCGAGCGGATGTACTCCATCAACACCGCGATGGTGAACTTATGGCACACCTCCTGAGGACACAACACAGCATTCACTCAGTCATGTCCAGTTATCTCTGCATTCACTCTGTCATGTCCAGTTGTATCTGCATTCACTCAGTCATGTCCAGTTGTATCTGCATTCACTCAGTCATATCCAGTTGTATCTGCATTCACTCAGTCATGTCCAGTTGTATCTGCATTCACTCAGTCATGTCCAGTTGTATCTGCTTCACTCAGTCATGTCCAGTTGTCTCTGCATTCACTCAGTCATGTCCAGTTGTATCTGCATTCACTCAGTCATGTCCAGTTGTCTCTGCTTCACTCAGTCATGTCCAGTTGTCTCTGCTTCACTCAGTCATGTCCAGTTGTCTCTGCTTCACTCAGTCATGTCCAGTTGTATCTGCATTCACTCAGTCATGTCCAGTTATCTCTGCTTCACTCAGTCATGTCCAGTTGTATCTGCATTCACTCAGTCATGTCCAGTTGTATCTGCATTCACTCAGTCATATCCAGTTGTATCTGCATTCACTCAGCCATGTCCAGTTGTATCTGCATTCACTCAGTCATGTCCAGTTGTATCTGCATTCACTCAGTCATGTCCAGTTGTATCTGCTTCACTCAGTCATGTCCAGTTGTCTCTGCATTCACTCAGTCATGTCCAGTTGTATCTGCATTCACTCAGTCATGTCCAGTTGTATCTGCATTCACTCAGTCATGTCCAGTTGTATCTGCTTCACTCAGTCATGTCCAGTTGTATCTGCATTCACTCAGTCATGTCCAGTTGTATCTGCATTCACTCAGTCATGTCCAGTTGTCTCTGCATTCACTCAGTCATGTCCAGTTGTCTCTGCTTCACTCAGTCATGTCCAGTTGTATCTGCTTCACTCAGTTATGTCCAGTTGTCTCTGCTTCACTCAGTCATGTCCAGTTGTCTCTGCTTCACTCAGTCATGTCCAGTTGTCTCTGCTTCACTCAGTCATGTCCAGTTGTCTCTGCATTCACTCAGTCATGTCCAGTTGTCTCTGCATTCACTCAGTCATGTCCAGTTGTATCTGCATTCACTCAGTCATGTCCAGTTGTCTCTGCATTCACTCAGTCATGTCCAGTTGTCTCTGCATTCACTCAGTCATGTCCAGTTGTATCTGCATTCACTCAGTCATGTCCAGTTGAATTCACTCAGTCAAGTCCAGTTGTATCTGCATTCACTCAGTCATGTCCAGTTGTTTCTGCATTCACTCAGTCATGTCCAGTTGTCTCTGCTTCACTCAGTCATGTCCAGTTGTATCTGCTTCACTCAGTTATGTCCAGTTGTCTCTGCTTCACTCAGTCATGTCCAGTTGTCTCTGCTTCACTCAGTCATGTCCAGTTGTCTCTGCTTCACTCAGTCATGTCCAGTTGTCTCTGCATTCACTCAGTCATGTCCAGTTGTCTCTGCATTCACTCAGTCATGTCCAGTTGTATCTGCATTCACTCAGTCATGTCCAGTTGTATCTGCATTCACTCAGTCATGTCCAGTTGTATCTGCATTCACTCAGTCATGTCCAGTTGTCTCTGCATTCACTCAGTCATGTCCAGTTGTCTCTGCATTCACTCAGTCATGTCCAGTTGTATCTGCATTCACTCAATCATGTCCAGTTGTCTCTGCATTCACTCAGTCATGTCCAGTTGAATTCACTCAGTCAAGTCCAGTTGTCTCTGCATTCACTCAGTCATGTCCAGTTGTCTCTGCATTCACTCAGTCATGTCCAGTTGTCTCTGCATTCACTCAGTCATGTCCAGTTGTATCTGCATTCACTCAATCATGTCCAGTTGTCTCTGCATTCACTCAGTCATGTCCAGTTGAATTCACTCAGTCAAGTCCAGTTGTATCTGCCTCACTCAGTCATGTCCAGTTGTCTCTGCATTCACTCAGTCATGTCCAGTTGAATTCACTCAGTCAAGTCCAGTTGTCTCTGCATTCACTCAGTCATGTCCAGTTGTCTCTGCATTCACTCAGTCATGTCCAGTTATCTCTGCATTCACTCAGTCATGTCCAGTTGTATCTGCATTCACTCAGTCATGTCCAGTTGTATCTGCATTCACTCAGTCATGTCCAGTTATCTCTGCATTCACTCAGTCATGTCCAGTTGTATCTGCATTCACTCAGTCATGTCCAGTTGTCTCTGCATTCACTCAGTCATGTCCAGTTATCTCTGCATTCACTCAGTCATGTCCAGTTGTATCTGCATTCACTCAGTCATGTCCAGTTGTCTCTGCATTCACTCAGTCATGTCCAGTTCTGCTCACCTTGTTCTCGGTGAAGACAGACAGCACGTGTGTGTACATGTCTGATTGGTCGATTACAGCCTGTGTTCTGATTGGTCGTTTCTGAGTGTTTCCTCGACTCGCTCCAGATTCCATGGCCTGAAACAGGAAGTACATGGATCAAAAGCACTGTTTCCACCAGTCCTACCCTGAGAGTACAGTAGAGTAGAGTAGAGTAGAGTAGAGTCAGACCTGTGTATAGCTCTGCTCCGCCTCCAGATACTCTTTGTAAACTTGGTTCAGTTTGTCGAACACTGTGGCCACGACAGGAAGACTCCCCCTGTCTGCAGACGCCAGTACTGCAACAAAAACAAGCACTATATGAAGGGAACATAACCCCAGTGTTGAAATCACTCCACAGGCCTCTTCAGCCCTGGTTCTACAGCCTGTGCATGTTTGCGTGTATGTGTGTGTTCTTACTCTGCTCGCACACACTCAGGATCACCCGTTTACAGTCTCTGCGTCTCAGAAGGAAGTCCATGAGTTTCCCTTTGTCCTGAAGCAGCAGCACCGCAGGAGAGAGACGCACCTCCAGGTACCAGAGATACCCTGCAGATCCAGAAACACACCATCACTACACACACACACACACACAGACACAGCAGAGACGCACCTCCAGGTACCAGAGATACCCTGCAGATCCAGAAACACACCATCACTACACACACACACACACACACACACACACAGACACAGCAGAGAGACGCACCTCCAGGTACCAGAGATACCCTGCAGATCCAGAAACACACCATCACTACACACACACACACACACACAGACACAGCAGAGACGCACCTCCAGGTACCAGAGATACCCTGCAGATCCAGAAACACACCATCACTACACACACACACACACACACACACACACAGACACAGCAGAGAGACGCACCTCCAGGTACCAGAGATACCTTGCAGATCCAGAAACTCACAATCACTACACACACACACACACACACACAGCAGAGAGACCACACAATCACTACACGCACATACACACAGACACACACACAGGAGAGAGACGCACCTCCAGGTAGAGACACACAATCACTACACACACACAGCAGAGAGACCACACAATCACTACACGCTCATACACACACACACACAGGAGAGAGACGCACCTCCAGGTAGAGACACACAATCACTACACGCCCGCCTGCAGGCACACACACACACACACACACCTTCACTGGCGCTGATGATGATGTCGGGCTGAAACACGCTCCAGGACGAAGAGTCTGGACCAGAGTCAAAGATTTTAAATAAACTGATGAAGCTGAGTTTAAAGTTAGTAACATTTAAACTACAACAATAAAACTGAGGGTTAGAAAAGTGCTGAACCAGGACTAAACCAGAGCTAAACCAGGACTAACCCAGGACTAACCCAGGATTAACCCAGGGCTAAACCAGGGCTAAACCAGGACTAAACCAGGACTAAACCAGGGCTAAACCAGGACTAAACCAGGACTAAACCAGAGCTAAACCAGGACTAACCCAGGATTAAACATATTTATTTAGGCTTCAAAACAATAATGATTGATATGAATCACGTTTATTGTGATTTAGTTTTCAGCCTTAAGGTACACAATGGTCCTCCCTGATTCTTTTATATTGTACACAGAGTGGCTTTAAATAAAACGATAATAAAACTGTAACAGCTGTGGAAGGATACAGAGAAGACAGGGAACAGGAGGCTGGGCTGGCACCACTGCAGGACCTGAGGCACACAACACACACAATCACTACACACACACACCCGCTTCTTTTCCCTAATGATGATCAGTTTGTGCATAAAAGGGACGCAGAATAACAACACAAACTAACAGAGAGACCAGAGACAGACCTGAGAGAGACCAGAGAGAGACCTGAGAGAGACCAGAGAGAGACCTGAGAGAGACCTGAGAGAGACCTGAGAGAGACCAGAGAGAGACCAGAGAGAGACCAGAGAGAGACCAGAGAGAGACCAGAGAGAGACCAGAGAGAGACCAGAGAGAGACCAGAGAGAGACCAGAGAGAGATCAGAGAGAGACCAGAGAGAGACCAGAGAGAGACCTGAGAGAGACCAGAGAGAGACCAGAGAGAGACCAGAGAGAGACCAGAGAGAGAGACCAGAGAGAGACCTGAGAGAGACCAGAGAGAGACCAGAGAGAGACCAGAGAGAGACCAGAGAGAGACCAGAGAGAGACCAGAGAGAGACCAGAGAGAGACCAGAGAGAGACCAGAGAGAGACCAGAGAGAGACCAGTGAGAGACCAGTGAGACACCAGAGAGAGACCCAGGCCCTGTCCTTCTTAGCTTCAGAGGTCTGACAGTACCTGGCAGGTGGAGCCACATTATAGTGAGGGGCCAGTGTATAAACTCTGAGGACAAGGCTGTCTTGCACCTGTACCTGTCAGGGGGATCCTGTAGGGGGCGATGGAGCGAGCCGGCAGCACTGGCTGATGGGTAATCGCACCGTCCTCATTCAGTTTGATGTCGAAGATCAAAGACGTCTGGAAAGAGAAGAAGTATCCAACTGTGTCTTAGCTGGACTGAGGCAGATGGTGTGCTCCGTACCTGTGAGCTCTGATGATGGACCAGACTGTACCTACTGTACCTGTGAGCTCTGATGATCGACCAGACTGTACCTACTGTACCTGTGAGCTCTGATCATGGACCAGACTGTACCTACTGTACCTGTGAGCTCTGATTGTGGACCAGACTATACTTGTGAGCTCTGATGATGATGGACCAGACTGTACCTGTGAGCTCTGATTATGGACCAGACTGTACCTGTGAACACTGATGATGATGAACCCGACTGTACCTGTGAGCTCTGATGATGGACCAGACTGTACCTACTGTACCTGTGATCTCTGATGCTGGACTAGACCAGTGGTTCTCAAACTTTTCACACCAAGTACCCCTCAGAATATACTTGCCTCTCCAAGTACCACCACAAATGACCAACACTATACAGTAGCGTAATAAGTCAAAGTATTCATCAAAAACAAGGCAGAGGTTTCATTCCTAAAGAAGCTTTTGTATTTGCTGCTCCTTCTACATGAAACGTGTTGCAAAAAGACTGGAAATGATCTGGCTGTATTTCATTGAATGCTTTCAGATCCAGATTGAGAGACTTGATACGTCTTCAGTGAATTGTAACTGTTTTCATAATCCGTAATTTTATGAAATTGTATGTGACTGTTTTATAATCTGTAATTGTATGTAATTTTTGTACAGGACTCCCTTGAAAAAGAGGTTCTCATTGACTGCCAGCCATTGTTGATGACTTCACTGATTTTCAAGACTCACAGAATATTGTGTGCTATGAAAAATATGAAACCAGAGTCTGAAAGACTGAACTGTCTACTTACTACTACTACTACTACTACTACTACTACTACTACTACTACTACTACTCAGCAGCAAAACGTTTTTAGCTTGTTTCGTTCTCCTGTGATCTCCAGTCGAAAAGAGGGGAGTGTGACAAAAAGCACCAGTCTTAGACAAAAAGCTGAGAAAATGAGCTGTTTGTGCAGGGACAGTAACACTATTTAGTTTAACTTTAGCATCTCCTCAAACATGTCCAGGATCTTACAAGTTAGAAAACAGAAACAAAAAGTTATGAGAAAGTGTTTTTGATGCAAAATAATGTTTTATGGAACACATCCACAAAGTGTTGCTCAAATATTTCAAAATGTACATATTGAAAGTAGAGCCCATGACAAACTATCCCAGAAAGAATGGCCGGTATTCATCCATTAGGTGGTGCTATATTTATGTCAATAAGAGTAAATCAGAGATTTTTTTTGTTCTTTGGCGTACCCCTAGAGGGGGCCCCCGCGTACCCCTACTTTGAGAACCACTGGACTAGACTGTACCTACTGTACCTGTGAGCTCTGATTATGACAAGACTGTACCTGTGAGCTCTGATTATGGACCAGACTGTCCCTACTGTACCTGTGAGCTCTGATTATGGACCAGACTGTACCTACTGTACCTGTGAGCTCTGATTATGGACCAGACTATACCCGTGAGCTCTGATGATGATGGACCAGACTGTACCTGTGAGCTCTGATGATGCACCAGACTGTATCTGTGAGCTATGATGATGGACCAGACTGTACCTGTGAGCTATGACGATGGACCAGACTGTACCTGTGAGCTCTGATGATGCACCACCACCAGGTTGTCAGCCACATTCAGAGCAAACTTCCCGACCGTGTTGAGCTTCAGCACATGGCTCTTCTTACAGGCCCCCTCCCTGTGGACACAAACAGGAAGTCTACAGCATGATGCTCCCCTACCCATCATTATTTTTAAAGCTGCAATACCCAACTTTTAAACAAAAATATAAACTATGTAATGTAATAAAACCTCAGCCACTTGTATGAAATAAACTGCAATGGACTCTGAAAACAAAATGTGTATGTCCTTTTTTCATGGAGGGGGGGTGCCAAGAATTCTCATGTACCAAAAGGGGGCCCGGCAGAAAAAGTGTGGGAATCACTGCCAATTTAGTTATTTTACTCTTGCATGATCCTCTGTTCCACTCTTCTGTCTTAAAAAACCTGGTCTAATACAGACTTGGGTTAGGGGCGGGGCTTACCTGGGCAGGTGATACAGCACGACTTCTGCACCCGGGCTGTTTGCAGATCGACACTGATGCTTCAGATACATCACATACAGCTGACCGTAACTATGGAAACACACAACATACATGTGAACATCAAGCCCCATGATCCAAGATGGCGTCCTATTCAAACTCGCCCGTATTTGGGGCATCGTCTGGTCCTCCAGCAGGTGAGCTCTCTGACCAATCAAAGCGCTGCAGAGAGACCAGGGAGAGACCAGAGAGAGACCAGGCAGAGACCAGGTAGAGACCAGGTAGAGACCAGGTAGAGATCAGGGAAAGATCAGGGAGAGATCAGGGAGAGACCAGGGAGACCCCAAAGAGAGACCAGAGAGAGACCAGAGAGAGACCAGAGAGAGACCAGGGAGAGACCAGGGAGAAACCAGGGAGAGACCAGGGAGAGACCAGGGAGAAACCAGGGAAAGACCAGGGAGAGACCAGGGAGAGACCAGAGAGAGACCAGAGAGAGACCAGAGAGAGACCAGAGAGAGACCAGAGAAAGACCAGAGAGAGACCAGAGGGTCGTGAGCGTGACCTATCAGAGTGCTGCTAGAGCGGGACGAGGGTGAAACGAGTTGGTGGCACAAAAGTGTGGATTTATAGAAAACCAAAGGCTTTAAAAAGAGATAGAAGAAGATAAGGGACACTCATTATCCGTATTCAGGACGATAAGGGAAACTAAAATCCCCACTAAACCCTTCTTTGTGAAAGCTGTAGTTCCCGGTCAGCTGAGGGGATTATCAGCATGTGCGGCTGAGGCTGCAGTGCCACACCCCACCACCAGGCTGTAGACCGGCTTAATCTGCGAAACCCTTCAGATCATAAAAGACCATCAGGCTCATAATGAAAAATTAAATAAAACTATACTTGTGCTTTAGAAATTCAGAGGAAGATTTCCAACCAGCTAACATTCCAGTTGTGTGCTCTTTTAAGTGTGCTTTACATTGTTGCCATGGCGACGTCACGTTCCGATAAGCTGAGTTTGGCCGGTTTGGGGACCACAGGAAGCTCGATCTCAAACTTAGACATTTTTGACATTGTCCCGTTCTGAAAAAATAGAAAACATACCTTGTTCTGAGCACAAGCCAAAATGTTTGTAATAGTAATTTCTGCCATTTTATCAGTGTTTTACTTTGAATGTTAGTGGCTGCAGTACATTCCCCTGGACAGTAGAGGACAGTAGCAGCACACAGGTCTCTGGACAGTACTGGAACCAGTTCACATTGATACTCTGTGATTTCAGCAGCTTCAGACTGCGCTTGTCTGGGAACACCTGAGAAAAAATACAGCCATGGTCAAATAAACATCAAACCCCACAAAAGAGGACACACTCTAGACCTAGCCACAACAGCGGACACACTCTAGACCTGGCCACAACAGAGGACACACTCTAGACCTGGCCACAACAGCGGACACAATCAAAACCTGGCCACAACAGAGGACACACTCTAGACCTCATCACTGAGTACTTCATACCTGGTAATACTCAACGCCCTGGTCTGTGACAAACACCACCTCATTCCAGTTGGTCCAACAAAAGCCTAAAATGTTTGCATTCTTCGTCTGGGAAAAAAAAAAACGATTTTCAGCATTATTAGAGACCATGGTTGTTTAGACTTTTTCTATTATGACAAACACATTTTATTAAAAAAATCAATAAAACAATCTTAACACTTTAACAAAAAAAATGACCTAAAAGTTTGACAGAGGCCAGAAATACATGAAACTACTGATAGAGGAGCAACATTTTGTTATGTTCTTTTGCCTCATTGCTCAGCCCCACAGTGAGAGAAGATAAGATAATATTTATTTTATCCTGTTCCAGACCTTGCACTCCTGGGAGAACTCTGTGTGTGGGAATTCTGGGATGAAGTTGATGAAATCCTGCAGAAGGAAAACAGCAGTGAGAGAACAGATTGTGGTGAGAATCCGGAGATAGAGTGGAACTAAACTGACCACAGACTTGCAGCTCCTCTGAACCGCCAGGATCTTATTCCCCAGAGAGAACTTGATGCACTTCACTTCTCCTTTGTCCTCCATCCTGCACAGACCAGTATCATAAAAGCGGACAAACCTTCTATCTCTACAGCGACACTGACGCCTCAGCATTATCTACACTAGTCCCAGATTTATCACCGGGGGAATGTGTTCTAAAAAATAATAACGTAAATTCCTTGAAATAGCAACACAATGTTTTAAAAGGGACCTAATCTTATTTTGTTCGTATATTGTGGTATTTTTTTGTGTTAAATAAAACTCATTTTGACAGATAGTTTCACCCTTAGCAGTTTCTATCAATAATAATCATGCAAAAAGACATTCGCGGAAAAATTGCAGAGACCGGAAGTGACGTACACATAGGTGTCATTGGGCTTTGTTGATATGCATTTGTGCCATAACGTTGTATACGGACGTTTTAAACAGATATTTGTTATTCAGTGATGGACGATACAAGTCAGGGGCTTTTATTTATGAGCCCTTGCGTACTTGTTATGACAGTAATTATGATTTTGAGGACTCTGACTCGGTTCAGATGAGGAGCAATCTGCAAGAAATGGACATTTTTTTATTCTGAACATGTGTCTGTGGTTCTAAAGTCTTATTCTGAACATGTGTCTGTGGTTCTAAAGTCTTATTCTGAATATGTGTCTGTGGTTCTAAAGTCTAAAACATGATGGTATGTGTCATATCTATATCTTTTACTAAACGTAGTTAGAGTGAAACATGGATTAATGGTTCAATGACAGTCATTGTGTTTTCTGCTGAATACTGCGTTGAAACTCGTAAACTTGGTTTTAGTTGGAGCTTGATAGAACTAATTTCATGGACCTGGCGCTTGTGTCTTCTCTCAGTTTGTTTTGGAGCGTGGCCTTCTCTGAATAAGTCAAAGATCGTAGGGACTGCTGTTTACACTCTTCTTTTTGTTACTTTCATTGATGCATCCCAGGGCCATACAAAATACACCCATTTTAAGGTTTATTTGTGTCAAAGCGGCAGCAGGAGCAATGCCATCAACAGTGAGGCGAGAGCTGCGACCCCTACAAGTACGTCATCATTTTTCTGGCCAATCAGAGGCGTTGATATTAAAATGTAATTTTAGTGATTTATTACTTATCTATAACACAAAAACACATTACAAAGGTGGGAAATACATGCTTTTAATGTGTTTTATCAGAAAAAATAATAACGTTAGTGCCCTTTTAAGGCTGTAAAACCCCTCAGAAAGAGAGAATGCAAGAATGATCTTCAGACCGAATAACAGAGAGAGTGGGATATTTGGAGTCAGGGGTTCCACAGGGCGTGTGTGTGTGTATGTCTAATTTATAATATATACATAAAACTACTGTGAGTATTTCGGACTAGTGAGTATAATATAATATACTAGTACCTGAACGCCAGGCTGCTTTTATCATCTGGCCCTTTGACCACAACTCCAGTGGCCCCACCTGACCGCACGGCAAACACCTGCCACACACAAACACACACACACACACAAAAACACACACGCGCACACACACACGCACACGCGCACACACAAACACAGACACATACAAAGTCATGGAAACTGAATCCAAAAGCTAAAGTCAGATGGATTCTAGACCACAAAATTCAACACTAACTTACTGTATTCTATTATTGTCACTTTCATTTTACACCATTTCAACAACAACCTGTTCCACATCATACTTCGTTTATCAGTTGAAATCATGAAGTTTATAAAGTAGCGTCATCCTGCAGTCTGTGGCTGATGCTAACATGCTAACGCTAGCCTTCTGGTTTGTGATGCTAACATGCTAACATGCTAACCTGCTTGTTTGCCTCGTCGAAGAACACGTTGTTGACGGCAGAAGCATGCTCAAAGGTTACGGGACATTCGCTGAGCTCCAGGTAATTTTCCCCCTGCTTTTCTGACATTTCTAGATCTAGTTCTAAATCAACGAGTTTATTACAACTTTACAACGAATTCTGCCCCAAAACTTGAGTCTGCAGCATAGTCTGCAGCGAACAGCCGCACATGACACGGGCCTTCAAAATAAAAGTACTGAGAGACATAAATAGGTCACAATAAGGACGTTCGCGAGGGATATCGTATGACTCCTCTGTTTAATACTAATCCCCATAATTTATACTAATATTTACAAAGACTCAATGCAAATCTAATCGTGTGTTCAGGCTCAAAGTGCATTTAAGACTTTATTTTGAAACGTGAAGGGTTTGTTTGGCTATGTCTAGAGTCATGTGACTACAATCATGTGATAAACCTTTTCTGGTCTACGGTGCATCCAAAACTATAATACTGTCGCATTTCCACCGAAGGAGTTCCTGGTAGAATACCTCCTGCCTCTTCTTTACTGCTCATAGTGGTTGGCCTTCAGCTGAGTAGTTTAATGGAGACCAGTAGAGACCCTGGTCTGGACTCAAGCATGGATCAAGGGGCCAAGTCTGAAGGAACACTTTTCTGTACAAAACCGGTAGAAAATTACACTGAATTAAGTTTGTGTTGTAAACGTTTATTGTACATTCGATAAAGAAGGTGACAGACTAAACCTCGGTCTGAACCAGGTCTGAATCAGGACTGAACCAGGACTGAACCAGTATTGAACCAGGACAAAACAAGGCCATTTGAGGCTGTTATTACACTGGTTCACTTGTGTTGGCGTCCTAGACTGGACCTCAGACCCAGGCTCAGGTCTCAGACCAGACCTCAGACCCAGGCTCATGTCTTTACATTTTTACAGTGTAATACTTTCACAATAAATACAATCTGAGAGATAAATAAATTATAATAAATAAATAAATAAAACATTTGAAACAATCGTTAGAAGTTTGGCATCATTCACTCAGCGTTTAATACTGGGACAAACACTTTACATGAGCTCCTACAGTGTGCAGCCTGGAAGGAGAAGCAGCTCTAGTCCGAGCCCCTCCCTTGTGACTGCCCCCCCCCCTCTATGCTCTGCCCAGTCACTCTGGAGGACCCTCGTGTGGACCGCTTGTGTCCCCCTTTGGGTCCTTCCCCAAAGATCATAACCATAGGTGAAGGTGGCAATGTAGAGCTCGGACTGTAGACGCTGCTCCCTCTTTACTACAACAGTCTGATAGAGCGACCGCATCACTGAGTACGTGTCCAAAGCAGAACAGAGTATGCTGAACCGGACTCTGCCCCAAATGGTCTGACCGTTGGAACAGTGATTGTAAACTAAATATCTCTCATAGAATCCTAGACCTCTGTGTCCTGGGTCTTCCCCTGGTCCCTGGTCTCCACCTGGTCTTCTCCCGGTGGGACATGCTGAGAACACTTCACAGGTGCCCAGGATGCATCCCAAACAGATGCCCAAGCCACCTACTCCGAGCTCCTCCCTTTTGACCTAACTCCTACTTCCCCTCTTGTCCCCAAACCGGACTCCCACTGGCCCCTGGCTGCGGGACAGAACCGGTGACAAAGACCAGCCCTGGCGGAGGCCAACACTGGCTCTGGTCATACAGGGACCGGTGGTCTGGGCCCTGGACCCAGAGAAACACATAGATTGGATTAAAGGAGAGCTCCTGTTTCTGTCTTTGGAGACGGACTCGCTGCAGACGCCGCACCGACCCTCACTGATATGTGTCAGAGAGAAGGAGTGTTTATATATTTGTACAGTTTTACAGTTGTACAGTGTGTGTGTGGAAGCTTTCAGCCAATCAGAGCTTTGATGGTGTCTCAACCAATCAGAGCTTTGATGGTGTCTCAGCTAATCAGAGCGCTTTGTGACATTCAATTGAACACTGATATATCTTACACTTTACAGCAGTGTGAGTTCATTCACAGATAAAAACAGACTGTTCAGGAGCCACCTCCAGGAGCCGCCTCCAGGAGCCGCCTTCAGGAGCTGTGGGGAAACGCCCTCATGGTTCCACAACTGGAACTGCTGATGAACTTAAAGCTGGGGGACGTGACTTTCAGAGCACACGCTGAACGCTGTAATAAACCCATGTCTCTAAAACAAGTCTATGTTGGAGTCTTTCTGTTGGATTAACTACATGTGTTATTATGACACTAAAGCTTTTGATCCGAATGCCCCCTCTACTCCCTGTGTTCTTACTGAAGTGTATATGGCCAAATATTAATCCGACAAGTTTCAGGATCCAAGCAAAGGTTAGACCAATGTTAGCGTCTTTACAGCTAGCAGTTAGCGAGTGCTTTGTTCATAATGTTGAGTGACAGCAAAGTGGACACACACCTCCTGAAGGCAGCTCCGGTGAGCACGACAGACACACACTGGGAAAATAGAGATGTGATAAAAACTAAAGCTAGAATACTAGAATCCTAAACCAGGTCTGACCCAGGTCTGAACCAGCACTTCTCATGAGATCTCTGGACTAACGGGATGAGACTGTGGTGGATGTGATGAAGGCGGCCCTCGTCTTCAGTCCAGGGCCAGGAGGGGGGTGCTGGTTTCTCTGTCGGCTGATTTCAGGGTCCCAGGCTCCACCACAGACTGAGACCTAAACACACACATAAGAATGATAAGAGGGGCTTCACAGGGCTCGAGCCTCGGACTACTGCTCTTCTATCGTGTTGTTATCTTCAGTGTAATTCTGACCTGTTGATTACATGTAGAGCGTCGTATGTGAGCGTGTATTCGGACTCGTCGCTGTAGTCCGGTCCCAGCAGAGTCCTGGCCCACAGCCCCACGTCGTACGGCGGCAGAGACCCCCCAAACTCTGAGGGCAGACACTCCACGCCGATCAGCTGCTGCAGCGACGTCAGGTTGTTCCCGTGCAGGTAAATCTGAGGAAGAAGCAGGAGTGAGGTTGATGATTCAATTAAAGCTGAGGTTTGTAACTTTCTGTCCGCAACAGTAGAACTCTGTAATAATGTCTCTGGTTCCTGGCATTAAAACAGTTGCTTCTATCAGTGGAGCTGCTCTCACCCGTTTGCGTGTCTTGTCCTTCAGAAAGGGCTTGATGATGGTGTACATGGCCTGGATGTACCACGGCTGGTTCACAAAATGGATACCTCCAAAACGAGCTGGGAAGCTGTCCTGTAAACACCACACACAGAATCAGAGAGAGACCAGGGAGAGAGAGACCAGAGAGAGACCAGAGAGAGACCAGAGAGAGACCAGAGAGAGACCAGATCCGTGTGGGCGGCACGGTGGCTGAGTGGATAGCACTCTCGCCTCTCAGCAAGAAGGTCCTGGGTTCGAATCCCGGTCAGACCAGGGCCTTTCTGAGTGGAGTTTGCATGTTCTCCCCGTGTCTGCGTAGGTTTCCTCCGGGTACTCCGGTTTCCCCTACCACTAAAAACATGTCCAATAGTTCTAGCATGCGCCTCCTGTACTGGCGACCCCGCTCCCATCTCTGTGTGGAGTGAGAGACAAATGCCCAAAAATTAACAATTGTAAACCGCTTTGAGACTCAGATCTGCAGTGAAAAGGCGGTATATAAATAAAGATTACTACTACTACTACTACCAGGGAGAGAGAGACCAGAGAGAGACCAGAGAGAGACCAGAGAGAGACCAGAGAGAGACCAGAGAGAGACCAGAGAGAGACCAGAGAGAGACACTAGTGAGAGACCAGAGAGAAACTAGAGAGCGAGACCAGAGAGTGAGACCAAAGAGAGACACTTGAGAGAGACTAGAGAGAGACCAGAGAGAGATCAGAGAGAGAGACCAGAGACAGAGAGAGAGACAGGAGAGAGAGAGACCAGAGAGAGATAGAAAAGTTTGTGTGAGGGGGATTCACAGTTGAAACTCTGTGTGTGTTTGTGTGTATGTGTGTGTACCTGCAGGCCCTCTATAGCCAGCCTCTGGACGTGTGTGTGTGTGTGTGTGTACCTGCAGGCCCTCTATGGCCAGCCTCAGGACGTTGGGTGTAAGTTTAGACGCCTGTTTGAAGGAGAAGTTGCTCCAGTCTATGATGAGGATGAAGCCGTTGACCTGCAGCTCTGGGTTCTCGATCAGGACCTCGAGAGACAGAAGGATGGCCCTGAGGATGTCCATGAACGAGTGTCTGCGACCAATCAGAGAGCAGCGTTTAAAGCTTCTGTCCGTAACTTTCAGACCACAACAACAGAATAATAAACTCAGGGCACTAAAACTGTTTTCTTCTGTCATTGGTTTTTACTACTGCATGGTCTCTCTCTGTTCTCTCTCTGGTCTCTGTCTGGTCTCTCTCTGATCTCTCTCTGGTCTTTCTCTGGTCTCTCTCTGGTCTCTCTCTGGTCTCTCTCTGATCTCTCTCTGGTCTTTCTCTGGTCTCTCTCTGGTCTCTGTCTGGTCTCTCTCTGGTCTTCCTCTGGTCTCTCTCTGGTCTTTCTCTGGTCTCTCTCTGATCTCTCTCTGGTCTTTCTCTGGTCTCTCTCTGGTCTCTGTCTGGTCTCTCTCTGGTCTCTCTCTGGTCTTCCTCTGGTCTCTCTCTAATCTCTCTCTGGTCTCTCTCTGGTCTCTCGCTGGTCTCTCGCTGGTCTCTCTCTGGTCTCTCTCTGGTCTCTCTCTGGTCTCTCTCTGGTCGCTCTCTGGTCTCTCTCTGATCTGTCTCTGATCTCTCTCTGGTCTCTCTCTCTGGTCTCTCTCTCTGGTCTCTCTCTGATCTCTCTCTGGTCTCTCTCTGGTCTCTCTCTCTGGTTTCTCTCTGGTCTCTCTCTGGTCTCTCTCTGATCTCTCTCTGGTCTCTCTCTCTGGTCTCTCTCTCTGGTCTCTCTCTGATCTCCCTCTGATCTCCCTCTGATCTTTCTCTGGTCTCTCTCTGGTCTCTCTCTCTCTCTCTGTGAGGAGTATGACCTGTTCTGGTCCCAGTTGGAGGCGAACAGCAGGAGGATCTTTCGTCCGTGTTGATCCGGAGTCTCCAGAACTCCAGGAAATCCATCCATGAGAGCGCGTTTGATCCCAGGGTCGTCCACCTGAAGACAACCATGGACCATATATAGTTTTACCATGTGGATCTATTATAATATATAGTTATACCATGTGGATCTATTTTCATATATAGTTTTAGCATGTGGATCTATTATAATATATAGTTATACCATGTGGATCTATTATAATATATAGTTATACCATGTGGATCTATTATAATATATAGTTTTACCATGTGGATCTATTATAATATATAGTTTTACCACGTGGATCTATTATAATATATAGTTATACCATGTGGATCTATTTTAATATATAGTTTTACCATGTGGATCTATAATAATATATAGTTATACCATGTGGATCTATTATAATATATAGTTATACCATGTGGATCTATTATAATATATAGTTATACCATGTGGATCTATGTCATATATAGTTTTACCATGTGGATCTATTATAATATATAGTTGTACCATGTGGATCTATAATAATATATAGTTTTACCATGTGGATCTATGTCATATATAGTTTTACCATGTGGATCTATTATAATATATAGTTTTAGCATGTGGATCTATTATAATATATAGTTATACCATGTGGATCTATTATAATATATAGTTTTACCATGTGGATCTATTATAATATATAGTTTTACCATGTGGATCTATTATAATATATAGTTATACCATGTGGATCTATTTTAATATATAGTTTTACCATGTGGATCTATAATAATATATAGTTATACCATGTGGATCTATTATAATATATAGTTATACCATGTGGATCTATTATAATATATAGTTATACCATGTGGATCTATGTCATATATAGTTTAACCATGTGGATATATTTTAATATATAGCTATACCATGTGGATCTATTATAATATATAGTTTTACCATGTGGATCTATGTCATATATAGTTTTACCATGTGGATCTATTATAACATATAGTTATACCATGTGGATCTATTATAATATATAGTTTTACCATGTGGATCTATGTCATATATAGTTTTACCATGTGGATCTATTATAATATATAGTTATACCATGTGGATCTATTATAATATATAGTTATACCATGTGGATCTATTATAATATATAGTTATACCATGTGGATCTATTTTAATATATAGTTTTAGCATGTGGATCTATTTTAATATATAGTTTTACCATGTGGATCTATAATAATATATAGTTATACCATGTGGATCTATTTTAATATATAGTTTTACCATGTGGATCTATTTTAATATATAGTTTTACCATGTGGATCTATAATAATATATAGTTATACCATGTGGATCTATTTTAATATATAGTTTTACCATGTGGATCTATAATAATATATAGTTTTACCATGTGGATCTATTTTAATATATAGTTTTACCATGTGGATCTATAATAATATATAGTTATACCATGTGGATCTATAATAATATATAGTTATACCATGTGGATCTATTTTAATATGTAGTTATACCATGTGGATCTATAATAATATATAGTTTTACCATGTGGATCTATAATAATATATAGTTATACCATGTGGATCTATTATTAAACATCTCTATGTTTCACTCATTCATAAGCTCTATGTTGCGTACCTTAAAGCTGTGGAAGATGTGCAGGTGCTGCTGGCGGAACAGGAAGTACTGACTCAGGAGTCTGAAGGATTCTGATTGGTTGAATTTTCTGGCTCTGAGGAAACGCAGAATGAAGTCATCGTCTGTTCTCAGGAAACCGATGTCAGGACGAGTCACGATCATGTCCCGGACCTGAGGCAGGGACAAGTATTACTGCTACTGCTACTGCTACTGCTGCTGCTGCTACTACTACTACTGCTACTACTGCTACTGCTACTGCTTTATACACATGATCACTAAACCCATCTCTATCAGATGTCGTTCACAAATACGTCTGCATGTATTTCAGTGAGCACTTCCTGGTGAAGATAATCCACCCACCTGCTGTATGTCGTGGTGCAGTGTGTCTGGGTTCTCGTTGAGCTCCAGTCGGGCCTTTTCTGTGGCCTCAGAGCTGAGGCCAGAGTGTGCTTTACTCATCCTCACAGCGCCAGAGGTCCTGCACACTGATGACAGCACTGGGCAGAACCAAACCTCTGGACCTGCGACCGGCTATGGACCTGGGACCGGCTCTGGACCGTAGTTTGGAGGTGGTGTCTAAAGCTCAGGTGTTACATCCAAACGTGTCAGATTCCACCAGGACTTCTACATATTCGTCGGTACATTCGTGAAGTTTTGGGCTTTTGAGCTGATCACAGCGAGATCTCTCTGCGGAGGACGGAAGAGGGCGAGAAATCAGTCCATGAAGGTTTTTGATTCTTCTTTACCAGACACTAGTAAGTAACGATGGTACTACCATGACATGTTTCGACCGTACATGTCAAGGTAATACCATCGTTACTTACTAGTCTGAAGACTAGACAGAAGAATCAAAAACCATAATTTGTAGAAAGAAAACAAGATGACACCTGCTTTAGACCTGCTTTAGACCTGGTTTAGACCAGTTTTAGACCTGGTTTAGACCGGGTTTAGACCTGGTTTAGACCAGGTTTAGACCTGCTTTAGACCAGGTTTAGATCTGCTTTAGACCAGGTTTAGACCAGGTTTAGACCTGGTTTAGCCCTGCTTTAGACCAGGTTTAGACCAGGTTTAGACCTGCTTTAGACCTGCGTTAGACCAGGTTTAGACCTGGTTTAGCCCTACGTTAGACCAGGTTTAGACCTACTTTAGCCTACATAGAGCTAGCCAACAGCCTCTGCTGCGCACAGTGGAATATTGCCGCTGTGTTCGGCTCCTGTTGCATTTATAAACTCTCTAATATTAAAACAAATGGAGTTTATATAATGACGTCATGTTTACGGTGTTTAATCTTGTATTTTTCGGTGGAAAACGTGAAAGAACCGCGCGACTCACCGAAGCATCTGCAGCCGCGAATGTTGCTCTGGATCCGGGGGAGCTGTGCGAGCTGGGCCCGGCCATGGAGGAAGACACCGGGAGAGAAACGGGAGATGAAGGTGAATAAAGGCGAATAAAGAGAGAGGGTAACCCGAGGCAACCGCCAAATGAGGCCGAGTTTATGGCTCTGGACCCGGGGATGAGCGCAGACAAAGGCCCGCTCCAAGGATGCTCTGGAGGAGGATGCTGAGGCCGTCAAGCTGCACGAGTACGTCTGCACTTCCGCTCTGCTCCTACACAATAAATCACACACACTTCCGCTCTGATCTTACACAATAAAACACATACACTTCCGCTTACAAAATGTTTCACACAGAAAATAACGTGCAAACTCGATAAAAACAATCATTATATAACGTTTAAACTTCTGAAAAACAAGAATACAACTTGATACAATAGTGAGAATTTTTCCCTTTGAAAGTGCGTGTTTTAGGAGAGTTATAAATGACACAAGCTAGACCAGAGCGAGACCAGAGCGAGACCAGAGCGAGACCAGAGCAAGACCAGAGAGAGACCAGAAAGAGACCAAAGAGAGACCAGAGGAAGACCAGAGAGAGACCAGAAAGAGACCAAAGAGAGACCAGAGCAAGACCAGAGAGAGACCAGAAAGAGACCAAAGAGAGACCAGAGAGAGACCAAAGAGAGACCAGAGAGAGACCAAAGAGAGACCGGAGAGAGAGACCAGAGAGAGACCAGATAGAGAGACCAGAGAGAGACTGGAGAGAGAGACCAGAGAGAGACCAGAGAGAGACCAGAGCAAGACCAGAGAGAGACCAGAAAGAGACTAGAGAGAGACCAGAGAGAGACCAGAAAGAGACAAAGAGAGACCAGAGAGAGACCAGAGAGAAACCAAAGAGAGACCGGAGAGAGACCAGAGAGAGACCGGAGAGAGACCAGAGAGTGACCAGAGAGAGACCAGAGAGAGAGAGACCAGAGAGAGACCAGAGAGAGACCAGAGAGAGAGACCAGAGAGAGACCGGAGAGAGAGACCAGAGAGAGATCAGAGAGAGACCAGAGAGAGATCAGAGAGAGACCGGAGAGAGAGACCAGAGAGAGACCAGAGAGAGACCGGAGAGAGAGACCAGAGAGAGACCAGAGAGAGACCACAGAGAGAGACCGGAGAGAGAGACCAGAGAGAGATCAGAGAGAGACCAGAGAGATGTTCACACAGATTCATCTTGTCATAGATTCCGTTTCCTCTTTTTGTGGATCAACGGCATGTTACAGATTCATCTTTTTCAGACTAAAAACATTCAGTGAGTCACAGGAAGTTACACGTTCCAAAGAAGAAGGAAGTAACATGAACACAGTCATTATACCATGGATCTATAATAATAACTGGATAGGGTATTATTAGCTTACAGCTGTCCCACCCATGGGCACAGGGGGCGCTGTGGTACTGCAAACTGAATTCACGTAGGCTACCCAGAAAAAAGTCCCATAGAACTCAATGTAAAATAAAACAGCTCGACCTCAGCTGACAGAGAACCTACAGCTTTCATAAATATCGGATGTTAGTGTCCCTTGTCGTCCTGAACTCTATTTTCTTCTTAAATCCTTCGGTTTTCTTTAAATCCACACTTTACTGCCACAGACTCTGCTCCTTTCCTTCCTGCTCTGACTCCACTCTTCGCAGTTCTGATGAACAGTTCTGATGAACAGCTCTGATTGGTCAGAGCGCGGCCGAGCCCCTCTGTGCACGTGCGTGAAAGCCACACATGCACGTTTGCCGCAAAGCATCATGGGAGCTCGTCCATTGCGCAGAACCAGGAGGACCAGACGATGCCCAAATATAGACGAGTTCAGCTAATCTCCCGGTCTCCATGGAGTCCCATGAACTGCTGAGCACAAGCCATTCATTTGAATAGGGCGCCATCTTGGATCATGGGGCTTGCATTGTACTCAGGGAGGGTAGCATCATGCTGTAGACTTTCAGCAGGAACCAGACCAGGACCAGGACGACACTAGACCTTACACAGGACCAGGACTTCACAGGTTTCACGGCAGACACCATGTGATGTGTGCAGCTATAATGTGATCAGATCAATCTTCCTGAAAATGTGAGACACTACTGTACAGACAACTGCAGAGGGGTTTAATCTTTCCTCTTTTGAATGTGTGACTGTATGAACTGTGCTATACAAATAAACTTAACTGACTCTGAACTTGGACTGTGCTCGTTCTAACCAACTCCAAACTAAGACCTGACTTTTGACCCTCACCATCGTCACCGTGGTTACCAGATGTTCCACAATTGGCTGTGGTGATGTCACATCACGCTGTGGTGATGTCACCAAAACCATGATGTGGGGGTTCTACAAATAGAAGTCAGATTCCACGCAGTCAAAGTGATGTCACATACTTCCTCTTTTCACATCGTATAAAAATCAGACCCCAGAGACAAGACCAGACAGTCCAGACCAGACAGTCCAGACCAGACAGTCCAGAGAGAGACCCGAGAGACAAAAGACCAAAGAAACCAGAGCTGAGACCAAAGACCAGTCCTGAGCAGAGATGGTTTCACTTCTTCCTTGGATCGTTCTGGCGTTCGCTGCTGTGCTTTCTCCAGCAGGTCTGAGACTGAGACCCAGGACTGAGACTGAGACCGAGGACTGATTCTCTTGTGTGTTCAGGTATGTGGCCGGTCCAGAGCGTCTGCTCCTGTTCCCAGGGCCAGATCCAACAGCGCAATGACCGCAGAGACCCCATTTCTCCGTTGGCAAAGTGTTTCGAGGAGAAGCCCCCGCACTGTTCCAACCACGCATTCAAGTAAGACCTGCTTTAGACCTGCTTTAGACCTGCTTTAGTCCTGCTTTAGACCTGCTTTAGACCTGCTTTAGACCCGCTTTAGACCTGATTTAGTCCTGCTTTAAACCTGCTTTAGTCCTGCTTTAGACCTGCTTTAGTCCTGCTTTATACCTGCTTTAGACCTGCTTTAGACCTGCTTTAGTCCTGCTTTAGACGTGCTTTAGTCCTGCTTTAGACCTGGATTAGAACTGGTTTAGACCTGCTTTAGTCCTGCTTTAGACCTGCTTTAGACCTGCTTTAGACCTGCTTTAGACCTGCTTTAGTCCTGCTTTAGTCCTGCTTTAAACCTGCTTTAGTCCTGCTTTAGACCTGCTTTAGTCCTGCTTTAGTCCTGCTTTAGACCTGCTTTAGACCTGCTTTAGTCCTGCTTTAGACCTGCTTTAGACCTGCTTTAGTCCTGCTTTAGACCTGCTTTAGTCCTGCTTTAGACCTGCTTTAGTCCTGCTTTAGACCTGGATTATAACTGGTTTATTAACTAGTGTTTTGTTAATCCGTCTTTTCGTTTCAGGATCAAATCAAATAATGGAAATAGGAAACGGTGCTTCAAACCTGAAGCTCCACAGATCCGCGCATTTATCAAAGTGAGTAAAAGAATAAGTCCTGGTCTGACTCTGGTCCTGGTCCTGGCCTTGGTCCTGGTCCTGGTCTTGGTCTGACTCTGGTTCTGGCCTTGGTCCTGGTTCTGGTCTCTGGTCTCTGGTCCTGGTCTGACTCTGGTCTCTCCACAGGCTGGGGGAGTGTGTCGTCCGTCGGTGACGTCTGTTTAAACAAAAACATTCCACAGATTTTATTTTTGTACAAATATTTATTTGTTTATAATATTTTATTTATGTATGTCTGGATTAGTCTGGGCTAGTCTGGGTTAGTCTGGGTTAGTATAGGCTAGTCTGGGTTAGTATAGGCTAGTCTGGGTTAGTCTGGGTAAGTCTGAGTTAGTCTGGGTTAGTCTGGGTTAGTCTGGGTTAGTCTGAGTTAGTCTGAGTTAGTCTGGGTTATGGATAGTCTGGGTTAGTCTGGGTTATGGATAGTCTGGGTTAGTCTGGGTTAGAGTTAGTCTGGGTTGGTCTGGGTTAAGGTTAGTCTGGGTTAGTGTTAGTTTGGGTTAGTCTGGGTTAGGGTATAAGGACCAACTGTGATGTTCTTTCATGTCTCTAAATAAAAAAAATAAAAACAACATTTTAAATTTTCTCTTTTCTCTGAGTTTGGACAAAAACAAATAAAATATCAATATTTATCTTTTTTATTAGAAAAAAACAGAGAGATGTCATCTGCTTAAGACCTGCTTAAGACCTGCTTTAGTCCTGCTTAAGACCTGCTTTAGTCCTGCTTTAGTCCTGCTTTAGTCCTGCTTAAGACCTGCTTAAGACCTGCTTTAGTCCTGCTTTAGTCCTGCTTAAGACCTGCTTAAGACCTGCTTTAGTCCTGCTTTAGTCCTGCTTTAGTCCTGTTTTAGACCTGCTTAAGACCTGCTTAAGACCTGCTTTAGTCCTGCTTTAGTCCTGCTTTAGACCTGCTTTAGTCCTGCTTTAGTCCTGCTTTAGACCTGCTTTAGTCCTGCTTTAGACCTGCTTTAGACCTGCTTTAGTCCTGCTTTAGACCTGCTTTAGACCTGCTTTAGACCTGCTTTAGACCTGATTTAGTCCTGCTTTAGTTCTGCTTTAGTTCTGCTTTAGTCCTGCTTTAGACCTGCTTTAGTCCTTCTCTCTGGTCTCTCTCTCTGGTCTCTCTCTCTCTGGTCTCTCTCTCTGGTCTCTCCCTCTGGTCTCTCTCTGGTCTCTCTCTCGGTCTCTCTCTCTGGTCTCTCTCTCTCTCCTCGGTCTCTCTCTCTGGTCTCTCTCTCTGGTCTCTCTCTCTGGTCTCTCTCTCTGGTCTCTCTCTCTGGTCTCTCTCTCTGGTCTCTCTCTCTGGTCTCTCTCTCTGGTCTCTCTCTCTGGTCTCTCTCTCTGGTCTCTCTCTCTGGTCTCTCTCTGGTCTCTCTCTGGTCTCTCTCTGGTCTCTCTCTCTGGTCTCTCTCTCTGGTCTCTCTCTCTGGTCTCTCTCTCTGGTCTCTCTCTCTGGTCTCTCTCTGGTCTCTCTCTCTGGTCTCTCTCTCTGGTCTCTCTCTGGTCTCTCTCTGGTCTCTCTCTCTGTTCTCTCTCTCTCTGGTGTCTCTCTGGTCTCTCTCTCTGGTCTCTCACTCTGGTTTCTCTCTCTGGTCTCTCTCTCTGGTCTCTCTCTGGTCTCTCTCTGGTCTCTCTCTGGTCTCTCTCTGGTCTCTCTCTGGTCTCTCTCTGGTCTCTCTCTGGTCTCTCTCTGGTCTCTCTCTCTGGTCTCTCTCTCTGGTCTCTCTCTCTGGTCTCTCTCTCTGGTCTCTCTCTCTGGTCTCTCTCTCTGGTCTCTCTCTCTGGTCTCTCTCTCTGGTCTCTCTCTCTGGTCTCTCTCTCTGGTCTCTCTCTGGTCTCTCTCTCTGGTCTCTCTCTGGTGTCTCTCTGGTCTCTCTCTGGTCTCTCTCTGGTCTCTCTGGTCTCTCTGGTCTCTCTCTCAGACCACACACATTTCAAAACATTTATAGTAAATGTTTATAGCACATAAATAATACACTTTATATAGTTTAGTAAAGTACACATGGTTTAGTTTATATAGTTTAGTAAAGTACACATGGTTTAGTTTATATAGTTTAGTAAAGTACACATGGTTAATTTCGATAATTAAAGGGGCTCACCCAGTGAAAGGTGTTTGTCCTCTTCAGGAGAAGTTTACGAGTGAGGGAGGGAGCAGCGTCTGTAGTCAGAGCTGCATGAGGCTGGTGTGGGGAAGAGGGAGCAGCTCAGTCACACAGGAGGAGCTCGGAGTAGAGCTGCTGCTTCTCCCCGCTGAGAGGAGTCATATTTTTCTAAATGTGGAAGAAGCCGACTTGAACCTAAGCTAGCTGGAGCTAAGACGGTTGCTAAGGCAAGTGCCCCTGTAAATGAAGGTATCTGATTGGTCGATCCCTACATGGCTCATGTCTGGATTTAACATCACAATATAAACAGCAGGATCACAGAAAGCGTTAACCACTCAGCCATCATGGATAACCACTCAGCCATCATGGATAACCACTCAGCCATCATGGATAACCACTCAGCCATCATTGTGGCGACAGTAGCTCAGTAGAGCATTAGCCTTTGAGTCTGAAGGTTGTGGGTTCGAGCCCACGTCACCGACTCCCACTGTCTGCTGTCGTTGTGTCCTTGGCAAGACACTTAACCTCTGGGAACAGCAGCCAAAGTGGGGCGGCTGCGGCTGTAAAGTGCCAAACTTGTGTCTTTAGGCAAGACACTTCACCCCCACATTAGAATGAGTCTGGTGTGTGTGTGAATGTGTCAGGATTCAAGCAGACAGAGACGGATCGTGGTGTGCCAAACTCTGGAAGTTTATTTAAGTTTCTCTCAAGTTCCACTGGTTTCCTCTGTTTCTTTCTCTCAGACAGAATAAAGGCAGTACACAGTTTATATAGTCATTGTCACGTCACACATCGAAAGACATACGTGTCACAAAGAGACAGTCACATCATAGTCATAACATGGAGTCCTTGTACAGTCCTGCACGTAGGCCATATTGCTATCTAATACTAACACCCTCCCCTTTGATCACATAATCACATGTGATCACTCAATTTGATCAATCAATAAAGTGGAAAAAGAAAAAAAAAAAAAAAAAAAAAAAAAAAAAAATCCCAAAAAAAACTTTACAAAATTATTAAAACTCATAATCATCCAAATCAATATCAGTGGATTTTATCCTCTATCCTGGGAAAAAACAAACAAACAAAAATAAAGTAAATAAACAAACAAAAAACAAATCGAAAATAAAAACAAACAAAAATTAAAAACAAACAAACACTATTGGACACACAAGAACTCAGCAGATTCAGTCAAAACACAGACAAAAAACGAGCTGAGTCTCAATTTGAATCCAAAGCCAGGCTAAATGCTTCTAATTCTGCATACTGAGCTGACTTCCCTGCCAGCGCCTCTGCCTTCAGTATGTTAAAATCAGGATTGGTAACAGGTGATGTTTCCCTGTCATGGATGACTGCTGCTGCGCTTGCAACCAATGCTCCAGTTTTGTCTCTATGCGAGTGTCCATCTATAAAAATAGCATGTGACCCCTCAATCTCTGACCTGCCCAACTTTTTGATCAAGTTTGTTTCTTCACTATGTTGGACCTCACACTGGTGAACTGGGCCTGAGATAGTAAATGGTAATATTGGAGAGTCTGTTGGTTCAAATGTAACTTGCATATTTACGAGTAACAGATGAATCTTTTGAGACATTGAATTTGTCAATGCAAATGTGTTCCCCTTCAAAGCTGCATACATGTTATGTGGCGTTCTCACTATCACCTCTGAGTCCAAGATTATGTGTGATGTGGAAACCAGTGAGTTCTTAAGGGCCATTACATAACGTGCACATGAGAAGTGGTGTGCTTCTGATCCTCTGAGATTGGAGCTGAATATGTACAATATTTTGGGTGCATCTGCTATTTTCTGAAACAACACTGCACAATAATAATCTCCAGTCATTGTGATTTCCATCATAATTGGGTATTTCCTATCAACGCAGTGTAAAGTCTGCACCATTGATAGTTTTTCTTTGATTGATTGAAATGCCTGTGCTTGCTCCTCAGTCCATGTCAAGATCCCATCATAATCTGTGTAGCCTACATCAATCAACATTTTCTGCAAGGGCTTCATCATGTAGGAGAAGTTGAAAATATATTTCCTGATATAGCTTGCCGTATTTATGAAGGACATCATTTCTCTCACTGTTTTTGGTTTGGGAAACTCTGATAGTTTGATCAGTCTTGACTGGTCACACATGACTCCTTCTGAAGTGAGATAAGTCTTTAGAAAAGATACTCTCTGTCTTACAAATGCACACTTGTCATAATCAATTTTGAATCCCTTTTCTGCCACTACTCTAAGGACTTTCATAGTGATTTCTGTACATGCCTCTTCAGATACTCCTGAGATTAGAATATCATCTACATAGGCCAGAACAAAGTTTTTGTCTGGGTCAATGTCAATCTCAGAGAGCACGTCCTGGATCAATTTGTTAAAGATCCCAGGTGCAGCGCAGTGACCCTGTGGTAAACGCGTATACACATACTTCTTCCCCTCAACTGTGAATGCCAGATACTTCCAGCACTCAGGGTGCAATGGGATGCAGAAGTATGCGTTACATAAATCAATGGTGGTAAACCATTTATGAGACGCTGGTAAGAATGCCATTGCTCTGTGTGGGTCAGGTGTGTCCAATAGTTTGTCTTGTGATCTCTCATTTAATTTCCTGAAGTCATTCACTAGTCTGCAGTATGGTTTTCCTGCCTTGTCTACTGCCAACATTGGAATATTATATGGCGTATACTCTGACGCTTCGACAATGATTCCTGCCTTCACCAATTCTGACACTGTGTACTTCAATTTGTCCTGGAGTCCTGCTTTAATGGGATACTGCTTCTGATAACACACTTGGTCATCAAACAGTAGTTTTATTGGCAGGATTCCCTCTGCTTTCCCGATGTCAAATGCATGTTTTGTCCATAGCCTCTCAGGTAAAGTGTGTTTCTGCTCTTCAAATAGGTTTGAATTGGTATTTTCCCTGCCATGTGTCCTTGTTCTCTGTACTTCCTGCATAGTGGCTTTATATTCAATTGGGTCATTGAATTTGATCACATAACCTCCTGTGGTTTCACTATGCAGTACAATGTATTGTAATTGTCCCTGTTGCACACACATTGGTTT